TTCATAGGCACCTAACTCTCCCTATGCATTGTATAGGGAGCTGGGCAACAAACTCAGGGCTGTGGATTCCATTAGGCACAGGGCATCTAAAAGTTAGGTGTTGCAATGCTGAGTCTAAGCCCCTTTAGGGATTCAGCCCTGAGGGATTTTAGGTGCCTACAGAGAGTAGCGGCAGCTGAGTGGTGGTTTTGTGAATGCCAGTGGTGCCTGAAGTGGCAGTTAGGTGCCTAACCCCCCCTTGTCAATTTAGCCCTAAGATTCTAGCCTCTTGTACCAACCTGATCATATGATAACATACATTGTTGAGGCAGGTGCAAAATACCAACGGGGTTAGTCACCCTTGTGAATGGACAATGGACAAAACGAAGAGCGATAAGCAGAAAGAGACTGTGATGGATCCCTAGCAAGTATCATTGATTTTGCTGGTGTTTGCATCCCAACCAGTTAGGCTTTTAACAAGCTTGTCTCTGGGGTGTTTCCACCGCCCATTTCCAGTGCAGTAGCTGTCCATACTCCAGCTATTGCTGTAATTCCTGCTTTTTCCACTGAAGCCGCTTGAAGCCACAATAATTACCTAGTGGATTGAGGACTGGAGAATGTAAAGTTATAACCTGGACAGAACTAACTTTTATACTCAACTAGTGAAAACAAAGGTACTTAGGCCCTTATGTCCCAGATTTAGGCTCTACTGTGCGCCACAAAATTCTTGCTTGGCTGCCACCAAACAAAGTAGGTGCTTACAGCAAAAATAGGTGCTCACTGCCCATACATACTGCTACCGTACTCCAGGCAGCTGGATGCCTGTCTCCATCTGAAACCCAGAGTGATCCACAAAGCCCAGGGAGATAGACATTTGTCTACCTTACTCACATGTGGGGCCCAATCCAGTAAGTGTGCTCGGAAGCCACCTACCAGTTCATGTACCTACTGGTAAGTAGGACTATACCAATGAACTGCTCCTGCTACTTCATGCTACTCTGGTGATGGAAAGCAGCCATGCTTACATACGTATCATCAGTACATTGTGACCCCCATTTCTTCACCGCAGTGAACACGTTGTATAAATAAATGGATAACCTGGTTAAACTTAAAAAGAAAAGGAGGACTTGTGGTACCTTAGAGACTAACAAATTTATTTGAGCATAAGCTTTTGTGAGCTCACGAAAGCTTATGCTCAAATAGATTTATTAGTCTCTAAGGTGCCACAAGTCCTCCTTTTCTTTTTGCGGATACAGACTAACACGGCTGCTACTCTGAAACCTGGTTAAACTTAGTACAGCAGCAGCTTTGTGTCACTGGAATAGCATAAAAAAGCAGGATTTGTTTACAGATTAATCTGGCCCCTACTGCTCATTCTGAGTGACTGTTTTAGATCTACATTAACAGGGGGTTATGTGCTCTTTGATGAACCACAATGAAGACATTTTATTCAGTGCATAGGTGCTGACTCTGTGGGTGTTCCAGGGCTGGAGCACCCATGGAAAAAAATTAGTGAGTGCTTAGGACCCCCCAGGGCCTCTGCCGCTCAACTTCTCCCAGTGCCTCCCACCCTCCACGATCAGCTGTTCTGTGGTGTGCAGGAGGCACTGGGGGGGGGAGAGGAGCGGGGATGGGGTGCGCTTGGAGGAGGGGGCAGAATTGGGCGGGAAGAGGAGGGGATGGGGACTGGGGGAAAGGGGTTGGGTGGGGGTGGTTCCTGGGGCAGAGTGGAGCGGGTGGTGGGGGGGGAGGAGTTGAGCACCCCTGGGGCCTTGAGGAAGCCATTGCCTGTGTCTCAAGGTATAGGCTCTTTGGGACAGAGACCATACCTTCCTCTATGTTCAGCATTGCAACAAGCACAATCATAGAAAGGTAGGACTGGAAGGGACCTCGACAGGTCATCTTGTCCAGTCCCCTGCTCTGAGATAGGACTAAGTATTAGCTAGATCATCGCTGACAAGTTTGTCCAACCTGTTCTTTGAAACCTCCTTTGATGGAGCTTCCACAGCTTAACTACCCTTACAGTTAGGAAGTTTTTCCTAATGTCTAACCTAAAATCGCCCTTGTGGCAATTTAAGCCCATTGCTTTGTGTCCTGTCCTCAGTGGCTAAGGAGAACAATTAGGTGCGCGTGCGCTGCATGCACGGGCGTCAGAAAGTTTTCCCTTAGTAGCTCCCGGCGCTTCCTCAGTTCCTTCTTGCCAGCGACTCTGACAGAGGGGTAGGAGGGTGGGTGGGTATTAGAATAGATACGAGCAACACATCTCGAAGAACAACAGTTACGAGAAGGTGAGTAACTGTTTTTTCTTCTTTGAGTGATTGTTCATTTCGATTCCAATTAGGTGACTCCTAAGGTCTACCTAGGCGGTGGGGTCGGAGTTATGGAGTCACTGACTGGAGCACCGCTCTACTGAATGCTGCATCATCTCTGGCATGCTGGATGATGGCATAATAAGAAGTGAACGTATGCACTGAGGACCAAGTTGCTGCCCTACAGATTTCTTGTATCGGGAACTGGGCCAGGAACACTGACGACGAGGCTTGTGCCCTTGTGGAGTGTGCCATAAGTGCCGGGGCCGGTATCTTGGCCAGTTCGTAGCACATGATCCAGGATGCGATCCACGAAGATATTCTTTGAGAAGAGCCCAGGAGACCTTTCGTCCGGTCTGCCACCACTATGAACAGCTGGTTCAATTTCCTGAACGGCTTAGTGAGCTCGATGTAGAAGGCTAGCGCCTGCCAAACATCCAGAAAGTGCAGCCTCTGCTCTTGGCTACTGGCATGAGGCTTAGGATAAAAAACAGGCAGGAATATGTGACACAACTTTAGGAAGAAAGGCCGGGTGAGGCCTGAGTTGTACCTTATCCCTGTGGAAAACCATATAAGGTGGGTCGGAGGTAAGGGCGAGCAGGAAGGCTACCTTCCATGACAGGTAGAGAAGGAAGTAAGTCGCCAGTGGTTCAAACGGGGGCCCCATTAATTTGGAGAGGACCAAGTTAAGGTCCCATGTCCAGATGCTCCTGGGTGGAAAGCCGAGATAGCTGCAAGGTGTATCTTTATGGATGACACTGCCAAGCCTTGCTGTTTCAGGTGCAGAAGGTATTCTAGGATGAAGGTATACACACCTGAAGTGGGGATGTACAATGCTGGTCACACCAGCAAGTAAACCTGTTCCACTTTGCCAGATATGTGGCTCTAGTGGAGGGTTTCCTGCTGCCGAGGAGGACCTCCCTTACCTGTTTAGAGCACAGAAGCTCCATGGGGTTCAGCCATGAAGCTTCCAGGCCGTGAGGTGGAGGAACTGGAGGGATAGCTCAGTGGTTTGAGCATTGGCCTGCTAAACCCAGGGTTGTGAGTTCAATCCTTGAGGGTGCCATTTAGGGATCTGGGGCAAAAATTGGGTATTGATCCTGCTTTGAGCAGGGGGTTGGACTAGATGATCTTCTGAGGTCTCTTCCAACCCTGATATTCTATGATTCTATGAGGTCGGGGTGATGAAGACAACCGTGGTCCTGTGTGATCAGGTTGGGGAGGAGTGGCAAGGATCAGGAGCGTGGTGTATCAGTGTTGTCAAGGCCACGCTGGTGCCAGCAGAATTATCTCTGCCCCATCTCAGGGGACCTTGAGTGGGCCCTTGCACATGAGAGGGATCAGGGGAAAGGCATACAACAGGTGGTTCCCCCCCACAAGGTAGCAGGAATGTGTCTGTGATTGAGCTGGGGCTGTGTTTCTGGAAGGAGCAGAACATTGGGCACTTTCTGTTGCTCCGGGTGAAGAACAGATCGACCTGGGGAAATCCCCACCTTTGGAAGATGGAATGTATGATGTATAAGTAGGGATGTATAAGTAGGGGCATAGCGAGCAGATCGAGGGACGTGATCGTTCCCCTCTATTCGACATTGGTGAGGCCTCATCTGGAGTACTGTGTTCAGTTTTGGGCCCCACACTACAAGAAGGATGTGGATAAATTGGAGAGAGTCCAGCGAAGGGCAACAAAAATGATTAGGGGTCTAGAACACATGACTTATGAGGAGAGGCTGAGAGAGCTGGGATTGTTTAGTCTGCAGAAGAGAAGAATGAGGGGGGGATTTGATAGCTGCTTTCAACTACCTGAAAGGGGGTTCCAAAGAGGATGGCTCTAGACTGTTCTCAATGGTAGCAGATGACAGAACGAGGAGTAATGGTCTCAAGTTGCAGTGGGGGAGGTTTAAATTGGATATTAGGAAAAACTTTTTCACTAGGAGGGTGATGAAACACTGGAATGCGTTACCTAGGGAGGTGGTAGAATCTCCTTCCTTAGAGGTTTTTAAGGTCAGGCTTGACAAAGCCCTGGCTGGGATGATTTAACTGGGAATTGGTCCTGCTTCGAGCAGGGGGTTGGACTAGATGACCTTCTGGGGTCCCTTCCAACCCTGATATTCTATGATTCTATGACATCTGGTCGGATGGATCACTCGTGATTTGTGGAACGATCTGCTGAGGTGACTACTAAGTTCAGGCTGTCGCATCTGGGGTGATAGGGCGAAGTGAGCCACACTTGGAGTGGTCTGAGCCTCAGTCTGGCATGCCGGATCCCATAAGTGCAGGCTGCCATGTGGCTGAGGACCCTGGGGAGAGGCACAACCCCTCCAAGTGCGCCAAGGAATTCAGGGGTATGTGCACACAGAACCACCCTTTAATGAGCTTTATTGTGTGATGTGGGGGCAGGCCCAAGGCTTCATTCTATCTGTGGTGGTTGGAAGCCAAGGGATGCAGCCTGTGCAAGCCCTGGAACACAGAGACTGCAATTTTCCTTGAATCTGGCACAGGAGGTGCTAGATAGGGGAATGATCCTTCCCCTGTTCAAAGGAAAGGGATAATCTAGTCCTAAGCATTTACCTGTGTCCCTGCCTATAAATACATGTTGCCACAACTGTATAGGTATGTAGGACTCACACAGTGCCTTTCATTCCAAAGAACCCTGCACCATATATATACACAGCACCACCACAATCATAACGTGTTGCAAATGGCATCGCCTACCTTTGGTTAAAGAATGAATTCCAAGCTTCACTTGTGAGAAATTTCCACTCCCTATTTCCCCTCTGACTCGATAGAATCCAATCCTCTTCCCCAGAGTTAATTCCTTCACCACCTTTTCATCCTGGGACATATCCTGGGTTAGCTTCTCCAACGGGGTCAGCCTGCGCTTCCTGCCCTCCTCATCTTCTCCATAGCACTCAGCCCGCCCATAGTCCTCTCCGCTGTCCTCACGATTCCACCTGGTATATCGGTGGTTTCCAAGACCTCCGCCATTCATATAGCTTGTTGTCATAGTCCACAGAGTGATCACATTTCCATTTGGTTTAGCAAGCTGTTCCAGTGGAATACAATCCTGGACATAACAGAATTGTGATAACCTGAACAAAAATTGCCAGAGGTCCAAAGATCAATGTGGAAATGACTTACAAACCAAATTTTCCATTATATATATATATATATATATATATATATATATATATATATATATATATATAATATACTGCTGCTTCTATGTAAAATCAGAAGTAAAATTAAAAGCCAATTGGCTTTTAATCTCCAGCGAGCAATTTTAAATCCTTATCTGTAAGATAAAAAAGTCTTGCTAATTAAAGCTGTAAACTGTACACATACAAAGCAAGGAGTCCATTTTCAATGGAGTGCAAACAAATGCAATACATTTGACACTTCTTTAACTTTCAGGTTCTGGTTTGCTGCCCTGAAAACACTGATGGGCACACCTCAGACTGGTAGCTCAATAACTACTTTGAATAAATCCAAAAGCTTTCAGATCACTTCGAACAGCTTCGGTAGGATATGATGCAGTCCTTCTTGGTTCAAGGCTCAGTCCAAAAGCTGAATTTTCCTTGGATTCATTTTTCAGCCAGCAAAGTTTTCACTGTGATTTGGAAATGCCTGACCTTTACCTTGCAGCCCTGCTGTAAAATGCTTGCCACTGCTTTGTTTAATTTCCATAGCTACTCTGATGTACAGAACTGCTGCTGGAGGATGCTAGGAGCAGTGTAATCTGTGCCCTGGGAAAAAGAAAAGCTGTACCTCTGTCTTGCTCGAGTCACATGGAAGGAAAGCACAGGATTAAGTAACTGCAATGTCACTTTAACCCTCCTTTATTTAGACGAGCCTTCTTTAAAGCCTTGAGCCTTCTCAAAATTTTGCCAGATGCGTTGTCTTCCTAAGAAGAGAGATGAAGAAAGTCATTAAACCCTTTATATAAATCGCCTCATGTTTCACTGAGCTACATGATAGATTCGATCATTTACCAATTTTATTTCCACACTGTTTGGTTTTGGCACACATACAAATTACAGCTTGTACTAAAACATACTTACAAGTAGTCACTTAACACAATAATAGTAAGATGTTCTTTCCTCTCTACCTGCTGATAACTGTGCAGGAAGAGGAATTTTATCAGACACTCTTAATCATTTCTGTACCCAGCAGTACCAGTCTGTGCACAGAAGGCGTGGAGATGTTAAAGAAGCTGCTGCCTCTAGCCTACCTCGCCCATGCACAGACACAGGAGCAATATTCTTACATAACTGATTAAATAGAATTAGACCAACAAAATGATTATCACTTTAAGTATGTGGAGTCCGTGAGGTACGTAAAGATGGTGAGGACACCCCAATGACTCAAGGCCTTAAGCTTTGGAAGATAGTCATCTAAGGTATCACATTTTAAGGGGTGTTACCACTCATGTCCTGCATATATTGCAGGATGATGCTGGCTGGCTTGAAGACAAGTTCCCTGTGCCACTGGGGATAGGTGGAGAAATGGAAGGTATTGTGGATAAGGCATTAGACTGGGAGTCAGGAGACCTGGTTTCTCTTCCTGCTTTGCTGTTCCTTAGGCAAAGCCACGTCACCTCTCTGTGCCCCAGAAACGATACTCACCTTCCTTTGAAAAGAGCTGAAATGCGCAATAAGAGCTAAGCATTATTATTTAATTAAACTGCTTTGGGTTGACAGTAACCCAACCAAAGTCTTTATTATATCACAACAGTATAGGTGCTATTCATTGCTAGGTTCTGGCTCTCCAGCATGGGTGCACAAGAGTGGTGAGAGGGCACAGATAACCCACCCTGCCTTCTCTTGTGCAAGTGCTATGGGAGCAGACGGGTGTTGAGGCTTGCACTTCAGGAGCACAAGAGGGCATAAGCTAACACGGTATGCTGAGTGAGGAGTGACTAGAGGTATCTCTACATTGCAATAAAACACCCATGGCTGGCTTGTACCAGCTGACTTGGGTTGTGGGCTCAGGCTAAGGGGCTGTTTAATTGTAGTGTAGACATTTGGGCTTGGGCTGCAGGCCAAGCTTTGGGAGCTCCCACCTCACAGGCTCCAGCCTGAGCCCAAGTATCTACACTATAATTAAACAGCCCCTTAGCCCAAGTCAGCTGGCACAGGCCAGCTGCAGGTTTTTAATTGCAGTGTACACATACCCTAGATGGGGCATAACTAGGGCCAAGCCCCCCCAGAATCAGCTGTAGGTCTGATGCTGGGAACAGAGCATATGCTGCACTAGTAGGGCTTGCTCCCTTTTAGAAAGCACTTACTGGGCCCTTAAACAAAGGCGCAAAACCATTTTAAGTATGCTCCCCTCAGCACCCAGGCTCTACCCTGGATATTTCTGTGATCTGCGGCTGCCAACATGAAGTTCTGCTTTGCTGTCAAAGTTATGTTTGTTGGAGTCAGAGAGCAGAAACCAGAAATGCAAAAAACAGATTGCCATGAGCACTACCTTAGTGAAAGAAAATTAACCACAGAAGTCTAGCTCATCATTATGCCTGTCAGCTCATTCGGTGTGAAAGAGTCAGCCTACTTATGCTAATTGGGCACAGAGGATACTCAACAGTTAAGGCCATCTTCTGCAAGAATTACCTATGCCTTTGCACCAGTCAGCTGTACAAAAGGGCTGAAGAAAATCCTTCTTGCGGCCTGTCAGCTAGACCTATGTGAACAGTCATTGTGTAATGTTGATTATGGGCAAAGAGAGGCCAGCTGTGGAAGCTCAATATCACGGCTCTGAGAATGCTTTAATCCAGATCTGTCTGTCCAAAGAGGAAACTGGGTCAAGGCATTCTTCCTTCTGGAATTTACGCCTACCAAATATTTGCTTGAGCCCAAAGATGGCCATTTTTAGAACACAGCCTAAGATTAATTTCTTTTTCCAACCCTCCCGCTAACTGCAGGCCCTGGAATCTCCTGGCACTTAGCCCACTGGCTAGGTTTCCTCAGTCCTTTAACATGAGCTATTTCAGTGCTGCAGGAGCTAATGGAGTATATGCTCTCCAGCTGTGGCCAATGTTGTCTTACTCTTTAATCTAAATCATGTAGAACAGTTGTTTTCAACCTTTTTTCATTTGCAGACCTCCAAAAAATTTTGAATGGAGGTGCAAACTCTTTTGGAAATCTTAGACATAGTCTGCGGACCTCCAGGGGGTCTGCAGACCACAGGTTGAAAACCACTGTTCTATGGTAATGGCAACCTTTCATGGACCCTTAGGCATAGTCTGTGAACCCCCCGGGGTCTGCAGAACACAGGTTGAAAACCACTGATGTAGAATGCACCCAAATACTGTGGTGAAGGGTACTTCACAGAAGCCTGTAAATAAATAATACTAATTCCAAAAGCGAGACAGACAGACTGGAGAGATTGACATTACCACAGTGTCTCCATATTGGAAGAGAAGGTTCAAGGTCTGGAGCAACAGGTATCGACCCTGCGTTACATAAGAGAAACTGAAGATTTCCTGGACAGACGTCAGAATATGCTTCTACGGGCACAAGGTTCTGAAGATTCAGAGCAGGCTGCACATCGGGGACAGGAGGACGGTGAAGAAATTTGGTATCATGTGACCTCCAGAACCAAAAAGGGGAAGTCCATGTATCAGCAATGCTGGTACAGGTAAGTAACCGTTTTCATGTTCTCTCCACAGGTACTAATGGGGGGAGTGGACCAGATGATATGTCTGAGGGAAGGGAGCAGAGGGAGACTCCACCAATTGGAAGGCATGAGATGCACTGTCCTTTGGTTGGGGGTTCCACGACCACCGCTCCCAAGAGAAGGAGGCAGGTGGTGGTGGTCGGGGACTCTCTCCTCAGGGGGACTGAGTCATCTATCTGCTACCCCAACTGGGAAAACCGAGAAGTCTGCTGCTTGCCAGGAGCTAAGATTCAGGATGTGACGGAGAGACTGCCGAGACTCATCAAGCCCTCGGATCGCTACCCCTTCCTGCTTCTCCACGTGGGCACCAATGATACTGCCAAGAATGACCCTGAGCGGATCACTGCAGACTACATGGCTCTGGGAAGAAGGATAAAGGAGTTTGAGGCGCAAGTGGTGTTCTCGTCCATCCTCCCCGTGGAAGGAAAAGGCCTGGTAGAGACTGTCGAATCGTGGAAGTCAACGAATGGCTACGCAGGTGGTGTCGGAGAGAAGGTTTTGGATTCTTTGACCATGGGATGGTGTTCCAAGAAGGAGGAGTGCTAGGCAGAGACGGGCTCCACCTAACGAAGAGAGGGAAGAGCATCTTTGCAAGCAGGCTGGCTAACCTAGTGAGGAGGGTTTAAAATAGGTTCACCGGGGGAAGGAGACCAAAGCCCTGAGGTAAGTGGGGAAGTGGGATACTGGGAGGAAGCACGAGCAGGAGTGCGTGAGAGAGGAGGGCTCCTGCCTCATACTGAGAAAGAGGGGCGATCAGCAGGTTAATCTCAAGTGCCTATACACAAATGCACGAAGCCTGGGAAACAAGCAGGGAGAACTGGAAGTCCTGGCAAAGTCAAGGAATTATGATGTGATTGGAATAACAGAGACTTGGTGGCATAACTCACATGACTGGAGTACTGTCATGGATGGATATAAACTGTTCAGGAAGGACAGGCAGGGCAGAAAAGGTGGGGGAGTTGCACTGTATGTAAGAGAGCAGTATGACTGCTCAGAGCTCAAGTATGAAACTGCAGAAAAACCTGAGAGTCTCTGGATTAAGTTTAAAAGTGTGAGCAACAAGGGTGATGTCATGGTGGGAGTCTACTATAGACCACCGGACCAGGGGGATGAGGTGGATGAGGCTTTCTTCCGGCAACTCGCAGAAGTTACTGGATCGCATGCCCTGGTTCTCATGGGAGACTTCAATCACCCTGATATCTGCTGGGGGAGCAATACAGCGGTGCACAGACAATCCAGGAAGTTTTTGGAACATGTAGGGGACAATTTCCTGGTGCAAGTACTGGAGGAACCAACTAGGGGCAGAGCTCTTCTTGACCTGCTGCTCACAAACCGGGAAGAATTAGTAGAAGAAGCAAAAGTGGATGGGAACCTGGGAGGCAGTGACCATGAGATGGTCATATTCAGGATCCTGACACAAGGAAGAAAGGAAAGCAGCAGAATACGGTCCCTGGACTTCAGAAAAGCAGACTTTGACTCTCTCAGGGAGCTGATGAGCAAGATCCCCGGGGAGAATAACATGAGGGGGAAAGGAGTCCAGGAGAGCTGGCTGTATTTTAAAGAATCCTTATTGAGGTTACAGGGACAAACCATCCCAATGTGTAGAAAGAATAGTAAATATGGCAGGCGACTGGCTTGGCTTAACAGTGAAATCCTTGCTGATCTTAAATACAAAAAAGAAGCGTACAAGAAGTGGAAGATTGGACAAATGACCAGGGATGAGTATAAAAATATTGCTCGGGCATGCAGGAGTGAAATCAGGAAGGCCAAATAACATCTCTTGCTAGCTGCAACTCCAGGTGTGAAGAGTAACAAGAAGGGTTTCTTCAGGTATGTTAGCAACAAGAAGAAAGTCAAAGAAAGTGTGGGCCCCTTACTGAATGAGGGAGGCAACCTAGTGACAGAGGATGTGGAAAAAGCTAATGTACTCAATGCTTTTTTTGCCTCTGTCTTCATGAACAAGGTCAGCTCCCAAACGACTGCACTGGGCAGCACAGCATGGGGAGGAGGTGACCAGCCCTCTGTGGAGAAAGAAGTGGTTCAGGACTATTTAGAAAAGCTGGATGTGCACAAGTCCATGGGGCCAGATGCGTTGCATCCGAGAGTGCTAAAGGAGTTGGCGGATGTGATTGCAGAGCCATAGGCCATTATCTTTGAAAACTCATGGTGATTGGGGGAGGTCCCGGATGACTGGAAAAAGGCTAATGTAGTGCCCATCTTTAAAAA